AAAACTTAACTCCCACCTAATGTTCCCTTCTCAAAAAAAAAAAAAAAAAAAAAACCAGCAAGGAAGCAGATAAGTGAACTAATATATGGAAAAATGAGGTAAACTTTTCAGTTTGTTTTTATCTTATTCAATAACTGAGGGTGTTACAAACATTCAGTCTCCTCCTTTTTGATGCATCACTTTTCTCTGGTTTTTCCCTACCCTTTTTCATATATAACTCAAGGTGATGAACAACCCTCTGAGGTGAGCTGGGCTGAGAGAGAGTGAGTGGCTCAAAGTCATCCAGCCTATTTTTCATGTCTAAAGTGGGATTAGAATTTACAGCTTCTTGAGCCAACACTTTAATCACTACATCAGACTGGCTCTTTAGCTAAAAACTTAAATAAAAACATTTAATTAACATTTAATTCATGTATTGAATCACTTAATTAAAACAATTAAAATATAGCCTTACTTAAAAAAAAACTAATATTAATGGAAATAGTTATAAGACCCCAGGTGGTGTCAGTTCCACTAGGTAGGCCAGACCAGTAAATCAATTTCATAGAAAGGCTAAAACTACTTTTATTGAAATTAGCTGTAATAACACAATTTTTCAAACCTAACGCTGCTGTATCTCCTCTCCCTGCTTATACTCCCATGATTTAATGAAGCATCTACCTGAGCCTCTGCCAAATATTATATGTCTGTTGTGGACTTAAAACACCTTTCATCTTTCATCACTTTGGTAAGAAATCTTGTGTATCTCCATGAAAGCCATCTTCCTTAGTCTTTCTAGGTGGCAAATACAATCTAAAAAGATGTCCTCTCCTTTTGTGAATCCTATTCAAGTAAATGTCTTCTTTAATATGATGACTACTATCCTTCAAGAGCACTTTTTGCCAAGATGGAATTGAACTTTATTCTTTCTCTCCAAGTATAGGATTGTGTCCAGTATGGGTGGGAAATCTCTAACTCTTCGAGACTATGTTGGACTCCAAAATCATCATCCTAGTTGATGGTCATAATGAAAGAAAGTATGATACAATCATCTGAAAGGACATCTGATGTCCTTTCAGCACATCAAGCTAGTTTATTTGTAAATACGAAAACTAAAGGCTTATATTAAATGTACTTTTAATTGCATTGGCCTAGCTCTTATTTTCATTACATCATAGCAAGTGTTAACTATTATTCAGCAGAGCTTCTTAGAGTTTTAATTCTTAGCTATTTTGTATAATCCTATTCCTTTCAATAAATGGAAAAACAACCCATTATCTCCTTTTCTGCCATGTTAAAATGAAGAGGGGTAGGGAAAATGCACAGAATCAATCAAAGATACTGACTGCGGAATATATGTGTAAAAGTTTACATAATGATTCTACTAATTGAAGGCCAAATTCTCAGATATTGGGTTGGAAGATGATCCTAATATATGACTGTTAATGTAAGTAGGTTACAGATGGATTTAAATTCATTTACTAAAGACATCACACTGCTTTTTCGGGATTCAAGGGCCATGAGGATATCTGACTGCAGAGTATTGTGGGATGGATTCATCATTCCAGCAGTTGCCCCAGGCTGGTTTAGACAAGGAAGGCTGGGGTCAAGATGTCCATTTGGAGTCATGGGAACTGCACAAAGCTTTGGATCTGAGAAAAAACAAAAACAAAACAGACAAAACACAGAGAGAAAGAGAGATAATACCCAGGGAGGATATTTTTTAAAGCAATTTGTGCTTTAAAATAAACAGTTCAATATACATATATTCTAATTCTGTAGTTATGCCTCTAGAAAACAAGGAACAATATGGAAATAAATTAATTCCTCTTTCCTCCTGCTCCTATTCTAACAATGTTTTATGCTATGCTTATAGAAGCTTGGAAATATTTGATGAAACTCTGCACCATTTGAGTGAGAAAAAAACCCTTATCCTTTAACATTTGCTTAACATTTACCACCACGGGTTTCTTTCATTGTAACAGAATGAGAACTACTAGACAAAGGTAGTCCAGTGTTAACAGTTCAGAAGTAAATTTGTGCTGAATACACAGGCTGCTAGCCACTATGATACCAGAATGACAAAATGTATGTCATGAAATCACAAAGCAAGCACCACACTTTTGCTCCTGCAATGCAAGTATATAAGGGTGAAATTTGTGTCATCATTTTATTTGCACATTTTATCCCAAATCCCAAATTTAGTAAAAGTAAGCAGAAAGGTTTAATTGGAATGGTGCCATGTATTTTCCATTCTTCAGATGAGTTGGAGACTATAATTGCCATCATTCCCAGCTAGCATCAAATTATGTATATGCACTGCAAATTTAGGTAAACAACAATGAGATATACTGGGCTAGGAAAGAAAGCTAAAGACCAGCAGTAATTTGTGGCACTGGATATCATTCTCAGTCCTTCTTTTGATTGAAAAGGGGGGAAATGGATTTTTATAGCCATTGTCATGTATGGTGCAAAGCTGGAGTGAAAAAAACATACGACATTACTCAGAAAAATACTGCAAAATGCAATTTCTCATTTGTGTTTGGTCTTCAAATGCTAAAGTTCTAATTTCCTTTTTTAGCCTTTGTTTCCAAGTGATTGCTTGAATTAATCTTTCTTAGATCTTTTGAACTCCTTCCAATATAGATTCTTCCTGCAAGTTGAGTTAGCTTTATAATCTATATAATTGGGCTTCCTCCCGCTCTTTTAAAATATTCTGAATTGTTAACTTTGGCAAAAAAACCCCTTTTGTAGTCAAGGGTCATGCTTGATGCTTTTAAGGTGGCTCTGGCTTGCAAAATGTATAGAATTGTATCACTTGTATGGGCCTGGGCTTTTGTTTTTGTGATATACTTGTTTTAGAGCTTATACAACAGTTGTCATCTGTTTCCATCTCAAAATGTCAGAAAATTGTACCATTGCTTTTCAGCAATCATGACTCCAAGGGCAGCATCTGACAAGCTTCATGTAATACTAGGTTCATTGCTCTCCCCAAATGTACTGATCAATTTCTTTCATCTTGGCTTTTACTGATTTAATTCATCCAAAAGTTGGTGTTACTAATCAGTAGCCATTACATATTTTGTTATGTTTTTGAAAGTTATTATTTTTTTGTGCCGTTGGAACATTAGGGGTCTGATTGAAACTCAACTGAGAAATTGATTTGAACACCTTTATAATCATTACTGTTGTTCCCAGGGCTTTTTTTTCTCATAGAACGCCCAGAACGGAGTTCCGGCACCTTTTTTGGATGGAACCTTGTAGGGTAGGCAAGGCGGGTTGTATGACATGTGTGAGTTCCGGCACCCTTTTTTTTTTTTTTTTTTTTTTAGAAAAAAAGCACTGGTTGTTCCAATAAAATTATTTTAATTTTATCAGGATTGCCTAAGCCTCTGTTGCATTCTGAATTAAGTTATTCATGCATCTTGGATAGAGGAAATGGCATCTGAATTTCTGCAGTGTAATACAGCAAATATTCCTTAGAAAAATTTGAGAACTGGAAATGTAAATGGACTGAAGGATTCATCTCTGTGGATCCAGAGCATATCTTGGAGAGGAAAGAAGGAAGGAAGGAAGGAAGGAAGGAAGGAAGGAAGGAAGGAAGGAAGGAAGGAAGGAAGGAAGGAAGGAAGGAAGGAAGGAAGGAAGGATACTTTCCAAGATGTTATATGCTTTTATATAGACATATACATTGTGTATTCCCTGCTAATACCTGAACTATCCTGGAACTTGTCAAATTCTTCAATATTTGATGAACTCTGGTCCTCATCTGAATATGAGCGGTTAGCATCACCCTGCATTGGGAAAATAAATGCAAAGACCTGGGAATTGTGAGCATCATGAGAGCAACAGAGTGATTTCCCTTTGATTTCAGAGAATTGCAAAGGTGGAAAAATACTTTATGGAAATAATTGGACAATATACCTCTACATGAAAGAAATAATAGCATTCAGATGATTAGATATGAAGGAATGTCTGAACGGTTCAATTTTCTCTTTTTCTTTCTTTATAAAATTTATATTGCTGCCTACTCGCTCACAACAATTTAAGGTGGCTTAGAGGAAATAAAAGCACAACATAAAAGAAATAAAAATAATAAAAATTAAAAATAATAGCATAATAATCCCCCACCCTCACCCCAGCGACAACATACACTCATACCAGCCATTTAATGGGCTCCATCCCACTCTGGGTTCCCCAGGCCTTCTGAAAGAGTGTCAGAGTGGGGGCCAGTCTAATTTCCGGAGGGATGATTTTTCAGAGGGAGGGAGTCACCACAGAGAAGGCCCTTCTTCTGGGTCCTGCCAGATGTATCTCCTTAGTGGACAAGACCCACAACATTCCTTGCCTCCCCACTCTAGTGGGTCGGATGTGACCGGCTAGAGACGATCCCTCAGATAACCTGGTCCCAAGCCATAAGAGCTTTAAAGGTGACAACCAGCACCTTGAATCGCACCTGGAAGCATATAGGCAACCAATGCAATTCCTGCAGGAGAGGTGACACATGTGCATACCGAGATCTGCACAAACCATGTGGGCTGCTGCATTTTGCACCAACTGGAGCTTGTGGGGCTTTTCAAGGGTAGCCCCATGTACAGAGCATTGCAATAGTCAAGACAGAAGGTGATTAGGGCTTGTGAGTAAGGATTTCTGGTCTAGGAAAGGGAGTAACTGGTGCACAACCCACAGTTGCACAAAGGCTCTCCTGGCCACGACTGCCGCCTACTCTTCGAGCAGGAGTTGCAAGTCCAGGAGAACCCCCAGATTATGCACTGGGTCTGTTTGGGGCAGTGCCACCCCATCCAAGACCAAAGGTGGCAATTCTCCATGGACCAAAGAACCCCAAACTCAGAGCCACTCAGTTTCAACCCGTTGCTCCCCATCCAGCCCCTAATAATCCCACATGCTCCTTCAGGTTGGACCTATTACAGATCTCTTCTCTGTGCCAATGTCATCAGCCTGGACCTAAGAAATGTGCCTTTTCCCTGGTAGCATCTATCTCCATGAAAGTCCCCTTCACCTCCAGATGCTATGCTCCTTCTAGTCTTTTGTAAGGCATTAGGAACCTTACTCCCCCCCCCCAGATATTTGGATGTGCCCATCCTGGGACATAGTATTCATAAGGTTTGACAGCTTCTTTTTGTTTTGGTTTGGTTTTTGTTGACTAGTCACTTTGAGGAGTGAGCAGCCATATAAACTGATCAAATAAATCAGTAATATTTTTGTATGCATTTCTGATTTGAGCACTGCATCACAATGCAGATTTTAAAAAGCAAGAAAATAGATTGAGTTCATTAAATTCTATTCCAAATACATGTCTTTTCTATCCTGAGATGTCATATACTCATGAATTGGTAGTCATAATTTTCCAAGATTACTCCCAATAAAACATGATTTAAAACCATCTCCCTCCATTCTGTATTTATCAGATGTGTCAGAATGCAGCTCCCAATAGCTCCACCTCATGGAAACTGTATGTATTGGTGGAAGTGATAACAGCTATTGTTTAAGGCAATGCCTGCTTGGCAAGGATTGACTTATAAGTCATTGGAAATCTGACCCTGAATCTCTCCCTTATTTGCAACCAACCTTCCTGAAAGCAATCACTGTAGCAACTCACCTCTGCCTGGAATCCCTCCACTAGGATGGCTACCAGTAGGTTGAAGAGAACATAATTTCCAAACGTCATGAGAGCCACAAAATAAAGTGATGCCCATGGAGAGGTTGAGGCCATGCCATTATAGAGTACAACATTCCAATCCTCCTGTGTCAAAATCTGAATGGTAAAGTTTAAGGTTATATAGTTAAGTCCAGAATAAGTGCATTTGGCAGAAATACGGGATATATATATTTCCAGTAAATAAATAGATAAAAAACAAGATGTACTATCAGAATGATTTGTCAACAGGAAAGGTCTCTAATATTTCTATTTTAATATTGAGCATAACACGGGAAAGGGTGCAATCATGACATGATTTCTATAAACATATGCCTCTAGCTATATGGTACTATGCCATTGTCAGTGGTGATCTCTGGAAAGGACTATATCCACAGATTACTGCAGTGTGAAAGATACAATAGGAAGGGCAGTTCTGCTTGTGAAAGTCAATAGGTTTCAAGTGAAGGTATTATTGTTTATATGATCTCTCTTTTATGGAAAAACAATGGAATACAGTTCTATGATAAGAAGACTGAAAGTTTAAATTGTATGCCCTCTTTGTTCCTTGGACTCACCTGAAATACAGTGACAATGGCCCAAAGTAAGGAGTCAAAGTTTTTCCGGTCAGGGACTGTGTCTCCTGTGTCAGTTCTAAGACTAAATTTACAACCAAAGATGTGCATTCCAAGGATGCTATAGGAAAGAAAAATGTGTTATGGTTTTTAAAAGATTACAGAACATAGAACATCAGAGTTGGAAGGGTCTTCTAGTCCAAGCCCCTGCTCAAGCAGGAGACCCTATATCATTTTAGACAGGTGGCTGTCCAGTCTTTTCTTAAAAGCTTCCAGTGATAGAGCACCCACAACTTTTGAAGGCAAGCTGTAAAGCATCAATCAATGTCTGCTTGTTTTCAAAGCCTTAAGTAATTATCTAAATTATTCCCTTTCAAAACATGTAGGGTAATCTTTATGAGTTTCCCCAAATGTAAAACAACCCTATGAAATAGAATCAAAATGGAAACTTTAAGTGTCCATAACTGATGGCATTGGTTAGCCTCCTCACTTTTCAGATTCAGACATATCCCCCAAAACCCCCATCAACTTCATTTCTCAATGCAACATTGGTAGTAAAAACAATAAGACAGCAAAGCTTAATGATTACCCTGAAGTATTGTGAGATTTATTTTGATTTTCTTCATTCACATTTTAACTGTTCATTTATTAAACTTCTAGCCTTATTGCATTCTTTTATTTAAAGAGAAAGAAATCTGGCTAAACTGAAAAAATACTGAGAGATATCATTGTTCTTGTTTAGAAGGCACTAAAGGTACCTAGCTAATGTACATTAACACAATATTACTCAGCATCCTTTCTCTGAGAACCTTAGCATCCCTAACCAGAATGACTATACTGAACCAGTATGACCATACTGGAATGGTATGATGGAGATTATAGTTCAAAATATCAGGAGAACATTGGTCTAGAACATTTACAGAAAATGAGATTAGGAAAGGCTGGTCTTAGCTATAATTAACTTCTCTTTCTTTTGATCTGAGGTTGAAGGAATCAACATCTGTTCATGCTATAGTCAAAATCTTTCTTTTGCAAACTGCATTGATGTCCTGGACCTCCACATGGGTGGAAGCTACAAGTGGTCTTGAAGGCAGTAGATAGGCTGTAGCCAGCACAACTTATTGGTGCACCTGAACATATAGATATTGCTTTGCCAAAATGGACTTTGTTCATCCAATCTGATCATCTATATGGTAAGTTCACTGGACTGGGATCAGGCAGCAGGCTTTCTCTGTACCAACCTTAGTGCTCTGGAATATGTGTCCCCTTCTTGCTTTTCATAAAGTGATTAAAACCTTTTTATTCCATGAAGCCTTTAACCTTATGTGACTATGAGGTTTTAATTTTATCTTTATTATTTCCTTGGGTTTTTGTTTTGTTGTACATCTTCCAGACTCTGCACATGAATGCACTAACTATGTGTATTAATGGTGCAGCTGGTGTCAGACTGTTACAGTTTAAAATTGCTCTGATGGCTTAGGGCACTCCTGGATATATGAGGTTAAATTCTCTCTGTTCCAGTCAGCATAAATATTGTTGAAAATTCTAGGAGTTTGAGTCTGTATGTCTGGAAAGTACTCAAGATGGGGAAATCAGGTTTAGGCTCAGAGATTTAATTTGCCTTTATTGACATTTTCCTTTCTCAGTGTTTAAGCTAGTAAAATGGAGCCCACCCTATATTAATCTTCCATATTCACTTGTTAGTTCCTTGGTATCTTTCTGCTTCCATTAAAAAATGCTAACCACACATCCTATACAGACCCTACTGTCTTCAGCAAGCATTTCATCTTCCTACCTGAAGATAAAGATAAAGAGCATGAGGAGCATGCAGAAGGTTGCTACATTATCCATTGTCTTCATCAGTACCACAAGTTGACGCCTCAAGGCAGGCATGAATCTCACCAGCTTTAGCACCCTCAACAGCCGGAATGTCCTCAGCACTGACAGGCCACCATCAGCCTGACCTATGATCTCCCAGATGCTGCAGATCCAAATAATCAGAAGAGGACACACAAAAGTGAGAGAGAAACTGCTAAGACCATAATTAGATTGGAAAAATAATAAAAGGGATTCAATAAACAACCCATTTCATTGTCATCTTTCATTAGGTTTAGGTTCTAAGCAGATTCTATGTATGAGAGCATTTGTGAGTGTAAAAGAGATATAATTTCTCCATAAAATGCACTGGAAACTACAAATGAATTGTTTCTGGTAAAATCCAAAGGCTTACGTAATCTTTTATAGAAAGGCCACTGATATTATGGGAGGTGAGAAATCCAGAAGACCTGGAAGGTCCAATCTGATACAACTAAAACAATATCTGACTTAATCATGTGTGATTAAAATACATTTTGTAAATATATGTGTTGTGTGTGGTTTTGTCTAAGAATATATTTATGTGGGTCGGTGTTTTTCTGTGTGTGTACGCATGTGGGTGTGTATCTATAGATATAAATATATCTGAGGAAGTGAAGAGGGTGAACAAGCAAGATCATTAAATGAGCAAATAGTAACAGCAAAGGATTTTGGCAGGAAAGAGTAAAAGAGAAAGAGGATCAAAGGGAAGGTGAGTCAGGGAGAGCACAGGCTACTGATGACTGCTGCTGTTGACTGTTTCCTGAAAGTTACTGATGCACTGATGCACATTGCACTACTGATTGCCCATTGAAGCATCGTTTGTTGCCAACCTATTTGAAGCAACTTCCGGAAAAATATAAGGAAGCAGTTCAAAGAGGACAAACTGAATAAAGAAACAGGGAGCTGTGGATAAACTTAAGGGAGAAGCATTTATTTTTTGTTTTGTTTATTGTTCATATAAAGAATGCAAACTGTTCTTTTGATCTGCAGGTGCTGTGTCAAGTTTGTTTCTTTCCTTAAAGTTGACAATAATTAAACATGCTGCATGTGCAGGCTCACAGCCTGCTGTAAGAGAAGATGAAGAGGCTAGAGGCAAAACTGTCCATTGCTCAGTATAGTGTCAAGATCAAGAGAAATTATTTCTCTCTATTCTGCTTTGATTGGGCCACAAACATTCGGTTCTGAGCACAACATTTTAGAAAATACATTGACAAATGGAACATGTCCAGAGAAAGCAGCCAAGTTAATTAGGGTCCTGAAAGAAAAAAAAAAGTAAGACAAATGGTTGGAGGCATTGAGTATGTTTAGTCTAGAGAAGAGGAGTCTATAGAGACATGATAACTGTCTTCAAGCATCAGAAGGGCTGTCCTGTAAAAGACAGGGCAGAATTGTTCAGAGTTGTTCCGGAAGACACCACAATGGGTTTAAACAATGGAAATTAAATTATAGGGAAATGGATTTCTGTGGGACATCAGGAAAAGTTTCCTAACAGTAAGAGTTTTTCACCAATGGAAAAGACTGCCTGGGGGAAGGCGCTGGACAGTCTTTAACTGGAAATGGTTAAAGTGAGGCTGGCCAGCCATCTGTCACAGATGCTATAGGAATGGCTAGTGAACTGAGCAGCGGAATGAATTAGATAATTTCCAAAGTCCTTTCCTGCCATGCCATGCCATGCCATTGTTTCTTCTATGTATGTATGTGTCTGATCAATAATGAAGATTTCCATCAGTAGCCTCTATATCTAGAAACACAAAAAATCTTTTAAAATATATTCAAACAGATGGCTGGGGCTACATGTAGAGGAAACACCATTGTTTAACTATAGATTAAGGCAGTTTTGTATGTTTCTAAAGATAGGAATTCTAAATATAGAAAGAAGAGATAGAAACTGAATGCCATATCTAGGAATAATGTTTTACTTTACAGGTAGACCTCGTTTTAACAAATGCCCTCTTTAGCAACTGTTCAAAGTTTACAAAGGTCCTGGAAAAATAACTTTTTGATAGCACTTGTGGCCATCACAGTGTCCCCACAGTTACATGATTGAGATTTGTGTGCTTTGCAATCAGTAAGCATTTACAACTGTCACAGTGATCACTATCTGCATGCTTCACAACTAATTTCAGACAAGTAGGATCAATAGAGAAGCTGGCAGTCAAATCACGAGTCTCAGTCATGTAATGTCTCGCCTAACCACTGTGTTGCTTAGCAGCAGTTGCTGGTCCCAATTATGGTCATTAAACAAGGACTACCTCTAGTTATACTGTATTTATAGTTTTGCACAAATTATTTCTTACACTGATTTGGCAATATAGCACTATAAAACTGGAAAAATATTTAGCAAGGATTTAACATGATATTTCTGCTTTCATATTTGACTGCATGCATTTATAGAACAATTATCTGGTCGAGTGACTTCGGCCAGTCACTCTCTCTCAGCCCAACTCTCCTCACAGAGTTGTTGCTTTGAGAAAAATAGGAGGAGGAAGAAATATTAGATATGTTTATTACCTTATTTATAAAAAATAGTAAAGGCAGGATAAAAAAATCAAATAATAAGTAAACATAGACTAACCTGAATATAACTAATGGCAAAATCTGAAATATAATCAAATCTTCAGATTGCCTGACTCTACACATAAATATGGGCAGTTATACTATATTAATTTAAAAGGAAAGCTCAAAATAATGGTGTAAACATAATTCATTACTGGTCATCATTTGCCAGTCCCAGTCCTCACCTTTGGGCAATATGAATTATCACAATGTGGGCACACACATACTTAAAATTAGTAGATATGACTTAGCTTTGATCTACTCTAATCTGGATGGCAAGAATCTAGCTATCATCATCCATTGTTGTTATGCAACATTTCATTATCGATTCAATAAAGATTTGAATTGTCATTACCTGATGATGACAATGATACTGTCAAAAATGTTGTATGGGTTGCGAAGGTAATCAAAGAGACCAAAGGCGGCAAGTTTCAAAATCATCTCCAGGGCAAACATGCTGGTAAACACAACATTGCAAATTTCCAAAATATTTGTCAGCTCCTCTGGCTATAGGCAAAAGAAAGAAGCCAAGACATCAAATGCATTTAGGAAATGTCACATATTTTTCTGGATGGGATACAGGAAATGGGAGCACCTGCATTAAAAAAAAAGACATTTGGAGCCTTTCAAATATCTTCTTCTAAGTGTACAATGAATGTGAACCTCTAAGGCTACCATCTCTCCAACATTTAATGAATGTTGGTATTCCCCCCTCCTTTCTTCCCCTTTTTAATTAATCTCCTTTTTAATTTGTGTGATCTTTTGCTCCAACACTGCAGTGTCTATTAATTTGGTAATTTATTCATTTTTTAAAAAAAATATTTAGCTGCTCAGTACTTGAAGGCAACTGAGGACTGTTCCTCTAATTTTGAAGTAGATGCTGGATTTGCTGTTTTTGCCACAGTAATCATTTATGATGATTTCATGATATAACTCAAAATATTTCCATTGTTACCTTATGACAGTGATGGCGAACCTTTTAGAGACCGAATGCCCAAAAACTGGCCCCGCCCCCGCTCCACCCCCTGCACTGCCCCTGCTCTGCCCCCCATCCCCTGCCCCGTCTGCCCACAGGACCACTCACCACCTCCAGGGCCCGCTGCAGATCGCCCAGACAGCCCAGCAGCGCTATGGTGGCCACACCCTCTGCCCGCGCCCTGCAGCATCAACTGCATGATGGGGTGTGAGGGCAGAGTCTTGTTTACGCTGCCTGGCTGCCATGTCCTTGGCTGCGCTGCTCCGTGTGGGCCACGCTTGAGGGTGACTCTCCTTCAGGGGGGCTGCTGGAGAGAAGGGGGTCACGGGGGGAGGCAAGGCTGGGGCAACGGCACGTGTGACCACAGAGAGGGCTCCGAGTGCCACCTCTGGCACGCATGCCATAGGTTCGCCACCACTGCCTTATGATATGGTCACTGCTTGTGCAAATTCCACAACACTGTTTTGCAGCAACATTTGTAGTATATTTGTAATCACTGGATTTCTTTTTCTTTTTATATGATAGTATGGCTACAAAACTTCAGGATGATAGAATTGCAATTCTTAAGACACGTGGAAAACACCAAGTTTATGTTTTTTCATTTTGAGAGGATAGAAGGACTCCCTTCATCTTTTACTATCCCTACTATCTGATTTTCTCCATTGTTTCTACTGGCGTTTATCTACTACTACTACTANTAATAATAATAATAAAGTTGGAAGGGACCTTGGAGGTCATCGAGTCCAACCCCCTGCTCAGGCAGGAACCCTACACCATTTCAGACAAATGGCTGTCCAGTCTCTTCTTAAAAACTTCCAGTGTTGGAGCATTCACCGCTTCTGGAGGCAGGTTGTTCCATTGGTTAATTGTTCTAACTGTCAGGAAGTTTCTTCTTAGTTCTAAGTTGCTTCTCTCCTTGATCAGTTTCCACCCGTTGCTTCTCGTCCTGCCTTCAGGCGCCTTACTAGCAACATACTTAGTCCTATTATCATAATCTTTCCTCATTACAGAAAGTCTTCAACTTACAACAGTTCATTTAGCGACCATTCAAAGTTACGTAAGACCATTTTTCACACTTATGACCATTGCAGCATTCGGATGCTACAGCTGGTTCATATTTATGATGGTTGCAAGGTCCCAGAGTCATGTAATCTCCTTTTGCAAACTTTTGATAAGCAAAGTCAATGGAGAAACCAGATTCACTTAACAACTGTGTTACTAACTTAACAATTACAGTGACTCACTTAATAAATGTGGCAAGAAAAGTTGTAAAATGGGGCAAAACTCACTTAACACATTTCTCACTTAGCAACATAAATTTTGGGCTCAATTGTGATTGTAAGTCAAGGACTACCTGTAGTTTCTCAGAAGTGGTCTAACTAATTACTAGAAGGAATATCAACATGCATGAATTAGGCAGCAGTGAAATGTACCACCCCCCCCCAAAAAAAACCAGGGTAACCCAGAAAGAGGGTGCAAAATTTAGCTGAGGAAACATCAAAACAATGTTGCTTATGTTACACAGCATGATAGGTATTTCTGGTATTTTTAAAAAACTATAATTCAGGGCTTTTCAACTGGTGGTACGTGTACCACTGGTGGTAGTTTTGCACCTGGCAGGTGATACCTGACCTCCTAGACAAGTGTAGCGGGGCAGGGGAATGAGCTGAAGCAGCGGCAGCACCGCACAAGCCTGAGGGAGAGTCAGCTGGTGCTGCAAGGCTGTCGGGGCTTGGCAGAAGCCCCAGGATTGGCCTGCGCAACTACATGCTGATCAGCACTTCTGCAGGCTGCAGGGATGAGACAGAGGCCTCAGGATTGGCGCACGCAGTTACATGCTGATCGTTGCACCCAGAAGAGAAAAGGAGGAGGGGGGTGGAGAGAGGAGAGTATATAAAAGGAGGAAGTTTTGGTGGGAATGGGAGAGAAAAAAAGACGACAGGGAAAGAGAAGGGGAAGAGAAAGAGAGATGGAGAAGAGGAGAGGCTTCTTTGAGAAAAGCAGAGGGAGAGAAAGGGATAGAACAGCGCAAAGCTCAATGTCAGAGAAACAGGCACAAGTTTCTCAGTAAAAGTGTGGTAAGTGGGTGTATGGATAGTCCTCATCCTACACGAACACACTTGAGCCCAAAATTTATGTTGCTAAGCGAGAAATTTGTTAAATGAGTTTTGTCCCATTTTACAAACTTTTCTTGCCACATTTGTTAAGTAAATTACTGCAGTTGTTAAATTAGTAACACGGTTGTTAAGTGAATCTGGTTTCCCCATTGACTTTGCTTGTCAGAAAGTTGCAAAAGGGGATCGATCACATGACCCTGAAACATCATAAATATGAATCAGTTGCCAAGCCTCTGAATGTAAATCACATGACCCTGGGGATACTGCAACAGTTATAAATGTGAAAAATGGTCATGTCACTTTTTTCAGTGCCATTGTAACTTTGAACAGTCACTAAGTGAACTGTTGTAAGTTGAGGACTACCTCAAGTGTACTTTATCACTTTTTCCTTTTTCTTTTTTTGGGGGGTCATCGAGTTTTTGACACCTTGCTAGGCGACTGGTGGTACTTGAATATTGCCATATCCTAAAAGTGGTACAATCTGTGAAAAGGTTGAAAAGCCCTACTATAATTTAATTTAATCTGGAAGGTACCAAGGCCGTATACTTAGCCCACATAAATATTATAGAAAATGACAATGTAGGGTCCATAGAAAGCTGTTTTATCCAATGGGAATTTGCTTTATTTGTGAACTACAGCATGACAGCCAGTTTAACATAGTTGTTAAATGTCCTTAAACATCAAGGTTTACTGGATGAATATGAGGTAGTCATTCTTTCTTAGCTAATTTATTAACCTTGTAATAAATCTGGAAAGGAAGTGGTCTGTATGTTACCTTGAACTTATAGATACAAGGAATGATGGTGATAATAATGATGATATAATATACCTATAATAGTCTATGAAGTCTACAGCAAAATTCTATGCTCTACTAAAACTGTGTCACTCAAGTTGCTTCTAGTTTATATGTGAATTATATAGACTGGGATTACCACAGTATAGAAACCAGAAATGAAAGAACCAGAGAGTCTGATAGCACATTTAGCACTAACACATTTTATTATAAGGCATAAGTTTTCATGAGCTGCAGCTCACTTTATCAAATGTGTGAAGTAGCTTTCAGAACTAGAAGTGTTCTGCACAGAATAATTATTAGTCTTTCCTTGCTACCATGTTTCTTACTTAAAGCTAGAGAATAAAATTATTAATCCTTGTGTGCATAGAAAATTAGGATCAGGTTCAGGATTTTTACACTATCCTTTCCTAGTCCAGATGTTTTAGATTACAATTCCTATTATTCTCATTCACGGTGATAATAAAATATGCATCTGGCTAAGAAAATGGAAATTACATTCAGTGGATACCAATTTGGGAAAGGCTACTTCAAAGCCATCCAGGAAATTACAAATAACATTCACTTACTGAAATAGGAAAATGCAATTCTACTTTGCTGAAAGAACAGAAGGATCTATTCCCTAGCTACCTGCCCTTCAATCTTTTTCTCAGCATCAGCATCCCAGTTCCTGAGTGCTGGGTTCACACAATCACCTCTTTATTTCATCAAGTGATTTTGACAACTGCTGCCCAAAAATGTTTATTTTCTCCATAGCTTCTTTTTTCAATTCCACACTTCATTGTGGAATGCGATCAGTGACATTATATTAATTTGAATTATACTAATTATAATTACACTAATTTGAATATTATACTAATATTATACTAATATGGCAAAAAGGGTGCATGTAAGGAAATGGTACACTTATCCCATGCCAGAGATTTGATTGCAATTCCCAATTCCCCTAAAAACAAAATCAAAAACAGAATTAGAGGAGAGGAGCAGATGATTGACTCAATTTCCATCTGCTTCATGTTTCTCTAGCAACACAGAACACACACAGACACACACAGAGACACCCACACCCACAACCACTCAAGCTCTGAAATCAGTTTCAATGTGGCTTGCTCCCACATGAACACTCATAGGATTGAACCTAAGAATGTACACTGCAATAATGCAATTTACTTTTAAGAAATATGCAAAGTATAAAACTTTCTGCATTTTCTTTAAAACCAGCCATTTTGGATAGCAGTGAGAAATTCCTCACATGAAGTGCTTCTTTTTTACCCCCACCCCCAGCCCTGGGGATCACAGAGATCAACTTTCCTGTTCAAGTAATCTCTAGATAAATTGGAAATCCAGCTGAGCAATTATGGAGGGAAACAGGTAGGGAAAGATTGCTTTGGCCTATCATTTCCTCTCAATATTCCCCAAATCCCCAACTCATTCTTCTGAAGTGATTACTTTCTTAATATTTCACTTTTTCATAGATTTCTTTACATTATTTTTGGGATGACTATGATTTCCATTAATTACAGAGTTAATGTTTATAAAACAGTAGACAGACATGTCAAACTTGCGACGTCATGTTTTGCCATTGCCGGCAATGGGGTGGGCACGGCTTCCACGTGACGGC